GGTTTTGTAAAAGAACAGCAAAAGTGCAGTAAAAACACATTCATAATAGAATATTTGCTGCTCTTTTGCAAAAGCACAGCAAAAGGGCAGAAAAGCACAGCAAAAGGGCAGAAAAGCGCAACAAATCCGAACAATTCTTTCCGTTCGGTGTCCGCACAAAATAATTTCTCTTGATTAGGAGTTCTTGTCAAAACAACTCCTTAGAGCTTTCACCCTCAATCCAAAACTCATTTGCAATTTCAAAACTAGAAAACGACTTCAAGACAATCTACACAACTATTTATAGCAAGTTAAACTTATACATTTTCTGTGTAATTACACTACACAGTTAATTCTACAATGTTTTTTTTTTTATAGTTAATTCTACAATGTTGAGACTGATACCTGCCTATAAATAGGTCATTGCCCGAGTGCGGCACGATGAAATCATATAAAATTTCACTAGAATTTTATATGAAATATTTTTTCTTTATGAATTCTTTTTTTTTTTTTTGGAGTTCAACTCAAATCACCATTCTTTGTTCGAAGTGGTTTAGTTGGGCTCCTTGTAAACCAATTCTCTAAGTTACTCATTGAAGCTTAGCGTCTCTCTCATTTTCAATCTTTGAGTTTTATTTATTTCTCTAATAATATCTTCGTATCTTCTCAAGAACAATTTTGAATCCAATTAAATGTAGAAGCATAGAAAAAAAAAGATTCATCAACAAATATTTGAATTTCAAAGCTTCCTCTAAATGAGGTTGGTGTGCATTGGTTCCAGTACTTTTTTTTCCTCCACTACTTTTTGTTTTCGCTATTTCAATATTCTTGATACATTGACAGTTTAGAATGAGCAGGAGTTATTCAATGGGAGAAAGATCTCGGTACCGTGTTAATTGACTGTGATTATCTCATAAGATGTTAATAAAGATGACAGCCCTACCATCATCATACCATAGTATAATCCCAACTATATTTAGAGTCCATTTTATGGAAGTTTGGTTAATGCCAGCGAGAGAGCTCTACCTTCCCCTCATATTCAGTTGGCATAAATGGAGAGATATTGGAATAAATGGGCTCAACAAAGAAAGAAGAATTATCCTAAACCCTAAACCCTAAACCCTAAGCCTATCCTTCTTGCCTAGGCACGGAAGGACCCTCTAAAAGTAAAATGATCTAAAAACAAGTCAAACTCTCATACCTATTCTTGATCCAGGGAGATAGCCTAATCTCTTGTCTTCTATAGAAAATGAAATGCAAAATCTTGGTGAAAAGGAGATCCACCAAATAAAGAGAAGTCAATCCACAAGCAATTTTGTACAAATTGGGGAATGTTGATAGGAGTAAGTTGAATAAAAACATGATATGAAAAGTCGAGTTAGAGAGATCATCGATAAACTACTAAACATGAATACTTTTGGCACTGATATTGATATTGATATTGCGTTGTCCTCTGATCTAAACAAAAGTCATTCAATCACAACTTGATTAAGTTGAGGTGTGGAGCAAAAATATTTTCTTTAAAATTTTGAGAGGTTTTGATTGTAGTGTATTTCAAATGCTAAGAGTTTTACGATTTTGAGTGTTTCACAAGAAATAAAACAAATTCAAAGTAATATTTTAAGGAATTAGAAACTACTCCGTTAGCCTATTTCCAATGCATTCTAAATTCACCCAAATAAGGTAAATTAGAATAAATCCCATAGGAAGCGTGCATAAAATCCATCACAACCTCACCGGCCTCCGCAACCCAACGTCTCCCAACGGCCTCTCCTTTCTTGCAGGAAGCAACCTTTGCCTTCTCGTGCAAGGCAACCTATCCAAGCTCAATACCGTTCTTGCAAAACCGCTTCTCCCATCAAAATTCCAGTAAAAGTTATAGCTTCCTATATCATGATATAATTTTTATATACATAGAATATATTTTGTCCCCTACCAAACACAAAATAATGATTTCATGTATTTCTTTTAAAAACAACCAAACAACTCTTAAGTATTTCAAATATATTGATATAATTTTATAATAAAAGTTCAATGCACTCGATCAAATAACCTTTAAATAGAAAGCAAGTGATCAATGGGATGTGGTTGCTTAAAGAGCTACTTTATGTATTGTAGTGGGGTGGGGTGGGCTGTGTGTTGACTTGACATCACCAGGGTGTGTTAAATCTCTATTAGCATTTGAATTAAAATTATGTATGTCCGTCTAGTCAATTTGAATGATTTGATTTACAAATCAGCTAAACCGAATGATTTTTATAATAAAATTTAGAAAATCGAATCGATAAACTATTTTTCAAATTTAATTGAAATTTCATTTGATTAATTAGGTTAGATTTCGGACAGGCCAAAATATAAAGAATTTTAACAATAAACCTAGTTGTTTTTAACTTAAATAACATGCATTACGAAGAATTCTAAAAAATCTTTGCCAAAATTTATTATTTTGGAATGAGGAATAAATTGTATTCGTGTTAATCTTTTCATCACTAATTATTTATTGTTCGTGGGCTTTATTGACTGAAAATTAAAAAAATTAGTACAATTCAAAATTTTATTTGATCAGTTTTACAAAAATAAAAATAAATCCAACAATGGAAAAGTAAGTAAAGTCAAAATTACATCCAATGACTAAATTATTGCTTTAACAATTGAACCAAACCCACCAAATAAGAATTGCTTCTATTTGATTTTTGTTTATTTTATCCAAATAATGCACATACCTATTACCTAGTTAAAATCTACATGTAAAAAAACTTTATCCTATATCAAGAGAGAGGTCACTTTCATGATCACCCACATTAAACCGACTTAAATATGAATCATGATTTAGACCAAAATTGATCAAAATCGAATTTCTTTTTTGTGTCAGAAGATGTAGAGATTTCACTTTTCCCCTTTTTTTTCTTTCATTCCCACAACAAGAGTGGCTAGAAACTTATTTTTTTAGTTTAGATCTATGGGTTAAGTATCATCTAGCTAATGGTGAGAAAAGATTGTTTGCTAGCCATTACCCGCCACCCTTGCTCATCAACATAATACCAATGAAAATAGGATGCAAACAACAGGCAACCATAAGCTATAGCTAATAGTGTTTTGAAACTAATTAATAAAAATTCTGACTCTAGAGCAAGCCTGATGCAAGACAAAGTAAATTGATCATGCAGGTAGAGATTTATGCTAGGGAATAAATAAAAACTGCAAATTTAAACTCCAAGGAAATTTATTAAGACAAGATATTCAGGCAACGCAACTACGCAGAAACAAGAAACTTGACTAGTAGCGACATTCACAATTTAAATGGAGTAAAGTAATTAAAACTATGAGAACATGGATAGCTAGAGTCCCACTTTTAAATTAGGATTAGTTGCAAATGAGGTCCGAAGCTCTTGATTAAGAAAGTAGACTAAGCAGATTAGTTGCTACGCTTGTTTGATGCTACTTCAGAGGGGAGAATAAAACATCTAGGCTAAACAGTAAATAAGAAAATGTAAGACACTTATCTTGCTTGGACGTTGAACAAAGTGTTGACGAAGAGGCCAATAACTCCCTTGGTAGACAACGACTTTTGCTGAATCTCTGAAAGGGATCCTCTAAGGTGACTTTGGAGGACAACATTTATTGATTTGATTGTTTTGGGAAGGGAGAATGCTATTTGGAGTGTTAGTGGAGGGTTTAATGGAGGAGTGTGGAGTTTTCTAATGATTAGAAAATGAGTGAGGATTAGTTTTGGCTGTTTTGGGAAGGGGATATAATGAAAAATGTGGTTTAGTCACTGTTGGGAAAAGTAAGTAGCAGGTTAGAGGGAGTTGGAAGGTTATGTGGCTTTTATTTAATAGGGAAATGAAGAGGGGTTTTGGGAAAGTTAAAAGACAACACTTTAACTTTTGGAAAAGATTTTGGAGAATACGAAGAGGCTTGTATTTAATAGGGAAATGAAGAGGGGCTTTGGGAAAGTTAAAAGACAGCACTTTAACTTTTGGGAAAAGGTTTTGGACAGTACGGAGAGGCTTGTATTTAATAGGGAAATGAAGAGGGGCTTTCGGAAAGTTAAAAGATAGCACTTTAACGTTTGGGAAAAGGTTTTGGAGAATACGAAGAGGCACAAGGTGACTTTCCAACTTCCAATGAGGAAGTTGTAAAGACAGAATTTTGTTGGCTGTTGGAAGGGGAAATTTCAGTGTTTTTTTAGAAGATAAAGGGTCACCAAAGTGGATGTTGGGTAGTTGGTTACTAGCACTAGTAGGGAGGGTAAACGGAGGGTTATTGGTGGGGTTAGAAGGCTTTGGACAGTAGGTTTCCAAGCAGAAATTTGCTGCAGGAGTTTGGGAACGCCGGTTGGGAGTAGGGGAAGGGTTCGGTTGGGAGTTGGGAAGGAGATGGAGAGATTTGAGAACAAGGATAAAACCAAGAGCCAACGACTGTTGACACTCACGCCACTAAACTAATCTTTACCAAGTTATTTAGAAGGAAGAAAACTAAGCTCCAAAGGTAAAAACGTTTTCATCATTCATTAACCAAATTACAAATGATGAGGGGTCTTATATATAAGCCCAAAAAGAAGAAAAAACAACAAGATCAAAATACCCTTGGTCACCAAACATAACATCCCCTCGCATGAGGGTAAAATAGGAAATAAAACAACACAAATCCAAAAGATCAAATAAAACAAACTACATATAAACCGACTCAATCACGGCTGCTGATCTCCGGCCTCGGCGATGATAAACTTTCCATAACCGGATGTCCCCATCAAAGCCTTAATCAATAAAGGTAGAGCTAAGGAATGGAACCAACGAACCGAGCAAAACGGTTTTGAGTAAAGTCCTCAAAGAACACTAGCACACCTACCAATACAAGCGGGTTTCAAAAGAGAATTGTACTGGTTATTAGAAAATCTTCTACCGTTCTACATAACAAAAAAAAAAAAATCCCTTTTCTTTAAAAAAAAAACCCTTTTCTTTTGAGGTATGATAGGGCCTAAGGCCATGATAGAGTCATAAAAACCAAGATTAACGATGCCCTTATAGAGGATTAACGAAATTCTTTGATATTGATGATGAAATTTTGCTTCGGATATGCGTTAAGGTCTTATCTTCAAACATTGTCACATCGGGAATGTGGTCCACAGCTAATAAAAGTATCTTTGGATCTAATTATATATTTGATTCTAATTAAAACAATTTATAATTCCATAATTATTTGCTAACTGATACTTTCTAGTTGAATAAGGACGAGATAATTTTAAAATACAGAATATAGGCCAACTTAAATATTTGAAATGAGCCTTGCAAAGGTTGAGAGAGCATTACTTGAGACAAATCCCATGAAAAGGGGTGTCCCCTAGCAAGTTTCTTGGCACAAATAAGCTTTGCAACTTTGGTAGAGAATTTCATTACAACAAAATATAAAGAAATAATATAGGAGTTAAGTATCACCAGTGGGTGCTACTTTTATGATCTTTCAAGTTCTACAACATATCTATTTAATCATTTTAATTTTTGGCCACTCAACTTAGCAAGTAATGATTATTTTATTGCTAAGACTTGGATCAATATAAATAGAAACCTAATTATAAATTTATAAATTTTATTTTAATATCCCTTGATAATTTCTTATCGCTTAATAATCATGAGACAATTCACAATTTTAACTACCAAACTTTAAATCTACAAGTTATATATCACTTATAACCCCATTTACTTGTATAATAAATCTAAAAACTTAAAACTACCTTAGCTTATAAATATTTTCTCTCTTGTTCTAACTTTTCATTATTTCAAAAGATATCTCCAATATTAGAATTACATCAACCATAAAAAGCAAACATGAAGAAACCTCACTTTTATTATCCTTTGAGACATTTTCATTACCAGCATAAAATGATAAAAACTAAATGTTAATTTTGATGTAATTATATTATAAATAGAAATTCTAAGGTAACACCATAACTACTTAATACTAGTTAATACTACATCAAATATATCTAACATTAATAAACCTTTGGCTTTTTTTTCAAAAAATAGACACCAAATTAATTCTCATGATCGGATTATTTGCCTCCATAAGATCAATAAAAATTATATAAAGATCATTTAATATCTCTCTATTTTTTAAAATTAATTATTATGATCATAATGCTCCTTTTTAGAATGAAACCAAATTAATTATCTAATACTGAGATAATTTTTCTAATACTATGTTCCATTACCCTCTCTCTCTCTCATCACTTCATTGTACGTTTATAAGTTTGATTGCTATATAATTATTATAATCTCCTTTGTTCTTTAACATTGAAACAAAAATATTTCTGACACCTATCTCCACTATGTACATTATTGCAATGAAGTGATCATTAGGTATTTTTGATAGCAGCACGAGCTGCTCTGCGTTTAAAATGCTTGAAACCTATAACAATTTAGAAAATCCCAAATTTAACCCAATTTACCAATTCCAGACGATAAGATTCAACAACTCCAGCCAAAGGCAGGAATTAGAGATTTAACAAATTCAGTCAAGGATATAATTGTATATAATTGTGAGAGAACTGCAAGGGAAAGAAATATTTATCTCTAAAATAATTAGCTGATTTGAGAAATTAATCAATTACTAATAGAGTTTACAAAAATATGTTTAATCACTAATGGAGATTTGATATTTGATTTATATCTAATTTACTAATTAGTAGACAAATTAACCATTCACTAAATATATCATCATTTGCCTTATCCCAAATAATTGTACTAAATAAATATACAACTGACATTAATTATTAATTTCTTAAAATATTAATAAATAATAAACCAGCTAACAGACTAATTACTATTTGATCACTTAATAAGTTAATCCTACTTATAAATTTAATAATTTTAATTTTAATTAGTATCAAATTAGACATTTATTACTGCACCAAAACTATTTCATTAATTAATTAGTAAATAATTAATAGATAAAGCACTAATTAGCCCACAAGTTAATTAAAATCCATAAATGACCATATAACTTATTTGTGATCATGCATTCATGGTCCAATTGCTAAACAATCCAAAATTAATCTATATCATTAATTTTTCAAAACAGTAATATCACAGTTAATAACATAATTATAATTTAATACCATTATCATCAGTTGATTTATCCATATAATCTTTCACAATAATTGTTGTTTAAAAATTTTTCTAATAAATAATTAATTACGCATTAGACTCAAATTACTAGCATATTACAATCACCATCCAAATGAATTTCCAAACTTTTAATTCCATAATTCTTTTACTAAATGCCAAATTGTTGAGTAAATTCAAACAGATCACGCATATTAACTATTAAGCTTTCATGAACAAAGTTACGGATAGAAGCATTAGCAGCAATTTAAAAATTTGGATTGATGTAATTTTGCTGGTAACAAATAACCGAAATGGTACCGTTCAAGGGTGAAAGAGTGAAAATCATTCGCGGATTTTAAAAAATTCCTTACCTTGACAAAGTTGTGAACCCTTTCTATAACTTTTTTAACAGACCACTTGAAGAGCTCAAAGTAATCATCTTTTTCTTCTTCTTCTTCACTTTCCGAGCTTCATTTTTATTTACAGAAGAAGAATTTTCTTTCATTCGATCTTTTCCATCCGCTTCTTCCATCTCTTCCTTCCTTTTATTAGACAACAGCGTCACTGTCTCAAGCATCTCCTTCGCCGTCTTTCTCGCCACCGCTGCCAGCTTCACCTTCCTCTCTGCCTCCACCCTCGCTGCCGCCGCCGCCCGGCTCATCGAAGCCGCCGCGATTCTCGAAGCGGATAGTAGCGCCCTCGCCGCCGCTTCGTCGATCGCATTGTCACCGACTGGAAAGTACGAGAACCCTTCGGGATCCTCGCAGATAGGGCATAGGTAATTGGACGCAGAGTCATCGGGAAAGCAGGAGGAGTGGGCGGCGGCAGGGCAACGGAGGCAGCGAGCGATACCGGCGACGGCGGTGTCTCCGGATGGCGGTGGAACGGAGTCGAGGACCTCGAGGCAGACCGAGCAGAATAAGCCACGGTGGTGCCGTAGAACGCAGGAGGTGCACAGGCGTCGGAAATTGGCGCGGTGAACGACGTGGTGAAGAGGCCAGGGGTTGCGAACAGGACAGAACTCGCTGTCGCATCGGCGACCTGCGCCGAAGGAGTCCGGCGCGAAGATTTCAACTGCTGTCGTCATGGTTCCTGATTGCTTTATGGAATTAGGGTTTCGCGTTCTGCCTGTCGTTGAGTTTCATCTCAAACGGCTCCATGAAGCGGACGAGAGTGTGATGGATTTCCAAACTAGGGCATCAAACAGATCGAATCAAGAGCCATCTTGGCTCGATCATTTTGGATTTCAGGATCTACTTCACGTTGATTAGTTATAGGAGGGCAATCATATGAACAATTATTAGGTCAGGTGACCTGACGTAACTCTATATTCGGACATCAATAATATATCGCCACGTGCTCTTACTCTTTACAACGTAGCCCGACGACCTGACCCTGGATTGCTATGTTCGTGTATTGCTCGGTATTGCTCTAGGTATTGCTCGGTATTACTCTATACTGCTAGGTATTGCTTGGCAATAACGAGAAATACTGCTATGTCAATATCAATACCGAGAAATAACGAGCAATACCGAGAAAAACTCGGTATTGTTCGGTATTGGTCTTCACATAATGGTATTTCTCGTTATTGCCGAGCAAAATCAACCAATACCTAGCAATACCGAGTAATACCTAGCAAAACGCAAACATAGCAATCCCGGCTTCGTTCCGGGTCGGGTTGTCGGGCCGCGTGGTAAATAGTGAGAACATGTGGCATTAATTTATTGGCGTCCGAACGTAGAGCTACGTTAGGTGACCGGACCAAATAAAAGTTCCAATCATAAAGCACCACATCACTTTTGCTTCTTATCGCCACTCAATCGTACTCGGAGCCTATTGGGCATTATTATTAGGATTTAGATAGTTAAAACTATTATTTTTATATATTTAATATATAATGCCTACCATTTTTTTGTAAAACATTTTAAAATTTAAACAAAGTCAAAAATACCATCAATCCTAACTTTTGTCAATAACATCACTCCATCTCATGAACGTAGTCCCTCCTATTTTTATATAATACTTATTCGTCCCCACAATTAGGGCTGCAAACGAACCGCGCCGAGTATGTGAGTGTTCATGTTTGTGTTCATTTAATATCAACTTGTTCAAGTTTGGTTCATGTTTGTTCGAGCTTTATTGTTTGTGTTCATGTTTGGTTCATTTAAATTAATGAGTGTTCATGTTCGGTTCATGTTCAGTTCATGTTCGTTCGTTTAGTGCTTATCGAGCTTGTTCGCGAACATATTTAACAATTTTTTTTTAACTATCAAACAAACACCTTCATGAACATATCTATGAACAAACACATTTATAATAAAAGCAATTGTCTATATAACAAATGCAATGATTATTTATATTTATTAATTCTATAGTCAAATATTAATTATTTTTATTGAGCTTATTCACGAGTTCAAATTCGAACACGAATCAAGCTTCTTATCTAGTTTAATGTCGAGCTTGTTCACGAACTTCAAATGATGTTGTTCGTGAACATAAATGAGCCGAACACATTAGTGTTCAAGTTTGTTTATTTAAGAATCGAGTATTTAAAATATTGTTCAAGTTTGTTTTTTAGTTAATTAAACGATCACAAACGATCTTTAATCGAATCGAGCAACGAGTAGCTCGTCGAACGTTTGGTTCGCTTGCAGCCCTACCCACAATGATCTAATTTGTACATTGCACAAATCTTATATAATATTTATTCCATCGCTCTCAAAAATGAGTTCAAAGTCTGCTTAGCCAACCTTTGCATAAGGCTTTGTTGATTCCCTAACCTGACGTATGTCGTCAACCCCGTCATCTCCAGAGTCCCAAAAGTCAACTACGTATGGCGAACTCTCATGGTCAAAACTATCATCGTTGCTCTCACATTCTACTGTTGAATGAAAATGCCAAAAAACTACCCACCACACCTTTGTCACCCAAAATGCAAAACTAGCAAATGGGATCCCACTTCTACACTTCCATTGTCTTTGTGGAAAGCTTGAGAAGACATCATATAAGATGATTCCTTAAGAGAGATCATTTCTTACATGAAAAACTTAAGAATGAGAAAAATTATATGGCTTAATTGAATTAATTTTACTAGTGTGAGTTAATTATAAATTCTAAATGTTGTATGTTTTTTTTTTACTAGAAAATAAATTAATATTGGAAAGATGGCTTCCATAATGTAAGTAGGAGCTTTAAGATGCCAAAATTATCATGAATATATGATTGATAGTTTTTTCGGCCGTTCTTCTTATAATATTGAAAACTCTTGGCCAAAAAGGCAAGCATTAACCTTACTAGCAATAGTGGGTGATAATGAGCATTGGCCTAGGGTTGGTAGTTTCAACAAGTGTTGGCCTTTTTGGTGACAATGGGCATCAATTAAGGTGTGTATTTTTTTAACCAAAAAATCAACCCTAAAACGAAATATATTTGATTGATATGATTTGGTTTATTAAGGAATTATTTGAATTTTTAGATAGGCATGAGGATTGGTTGGATTACGATTACTTATTCGATTTTAAAATAAAATAAAATAAAAATTGATTCAACCACAATCCAAAATTTCATTAATGCATAGTCAAATAATATTTACTCTTCAAACTCAAAGACCTACTGAAAACCAAATAATATATAGCCAATCAGTCTACCAATCTATCCAAATTAATTGCATAACCCTAACGATGATGTTGGAGAGACCAAGCTTCCTACCATAAAAACACCTATAAAGTTAATCTCTCTCTTGATCTCTCATTCATAACTAAAGTAGTCATCTTTCACTCCATATCAATACTTTCTATCACAAGTCATATATTAATCTTGAAATTAATGTAAAATTATAATAACATTATTATTATTAACTATAATCAGGGGCGGATCCAGCTTCTTTTTTTAGGGTGGGCAAAAATATTTTTTTTGTGGGAGATGGGCAAAGATGCTTAGGATTTATAAAATGAGGGCAAAAAAATTTTTTGAGAGGGGGCAAAATGCCAAAAATACCCAAAATATTCCAAATAATCCCTCTAAAATAAAAAAAAAATTTGAGGGGGGGCCTTCAAGTCAATGGGGGTCCGCCCATGACAATAATCATACTTTATAATCAAATCAAATTTTTTAAAATTTAAGAGAAATAATTTTCTCTCAATATTTTATGCCTAACTTTTTTTACTAATGTCACTCTTCAATAAGCTCAAAAGTCAACTTGAAATTAATCACTTACAACTTGGCTTGAACTTGGATCAACATGATATTAATTTTTTTTTTTTGGGGAATTAAATATTTTATTTTGACTAAATGTCACTCTTGAACACAACCTTATACTATCTATAATCCTAAAAGAACAACAAACTTCTTGTCAATTTTTTGAATCTCATCAAGACATTTCTATTCATAATCGTATTAATATGTTTTGCATCGACCAGATGAATTTTTAGATGCTTTCAAGTAACTCAAATTTTGTTTGGCTACTCTCCTCTTGCTATTTAAGTTTGTGTTTAGAAAATTTTTATTCTAATGTTCGATCATTTTCTCCTTGATGCTTAGTATAATCCTCATCGCTTAGTATAATCCTCATCAGAGAGGAAAATGATAGTAATTTACATACTACATCAATAAGATCCTTGTAAACAAAACAGGCTAACATCTATTAGATCATAAAACTTTTATAGTTGATTTTTTTCTGCTAAAAAAATTTTGACCTTATTTTTGAACAACACATGCTATATGAGTTTAATGCTGCTATTTTCAAATCTCAAGTCCTGAATGAGAAGAGTGGATGTATTTAACAGTTAACGTAAAATTTATCGAGAAATCATAACATTCAGGATACAGAGAACAGGGTAATCGTAAAACAGGAACAAAACACAAGAACATTAGTTCTGTATTCAAATTCTCATAAAAAAAAACGACCTATTACAGGTAGCCGTTAGAATATATATATACACAGGAAGAAAACAAAGCTATGGCTACACATTATTAGAATAAGCGGCTACACAGACAATGTCCCTAACTCCGGCTCGCCTGTAGCTCCGGCGTCAATGTCACTCTTGAACACAACCTTATACTATCTATAATCCTAAAAGAACAACAAACTTCTTGTCAATTTTTTGAATCTCATCAAGACATTTCTATTCATAATCGTATTAATATGTTTTGCATCGACCAGATGAATTTTTAGATGCTTTCAAGTAACTCAAATTTTGTTTGGCTACTCTCCTCTTGCTATTTAAGTTTGTGTTTAGAAAATTTTTATTCTAATGTTCGATCATTTTCTCCTTGATGCTTAGTATAATCCTCATCAGAGAAGAAAATGATAGTAATTTACATACTACATCAATAAGATCCTTGTAAACAAAACAGGCTAACATCTATTAGATCATAAAACTTTTATAGTTGATTTTTTTCTGCTAAAAAAATTTTGACCTTATTTTTGAACAACACATGCTATATGAGTTTAATGCTGCTATTTTCAAATCTCAAGTCCTGAATGAGAAGAGTGGAGGTATTTAATAGTTAACGTAAAATTTATCGAGAAATCATAACATAAATCTTTAGATATAATTATATGAAATTTACGCAACTCTTTCTTTTCCTTTCTTAGCTCTTTCCATGATGTATATATTATAAAATTTGAATGTATTAAGTATAGGTTGGTTCAACAAAAATGGGGAAATTTTTCTCTCTCTTATTTAACAAATAAATATATTAATATATTTATTTGCTGTTGGTCAATGCTTTAGAAGGCCGATCCAGCGCACCTCCCTGTAAAATCGGTCACTCGCCTCACTCACTCGCTCACTAACTCGACCGACACGGGTCGGGATCGTTCCTCTAACACGACTCGGTCGACAGCGAAACGCTTCCGGCGTTGCCGGCCAGGCCTCGAACATAAGATCTGGGCCGAGTCAACGATTGAGGCGAGAGAGCCAACGCGCCAAGATGCTGTAGTTGAGGGGCGAGCGAGCCATGGCTCGGAGGCGGTTCCGGAAGTTGGTGAGCTGAAGAATATCTTACTAGGGTTTCCATCTCTACAGAGCTTTCTTCTTGCTTGATTCTCCCTTTGGGTGATCCCATTGACCCCTTCCGCTTTTACTATGCGTTGATCATGTTATTCACATTTTCAGGCTTTTAGGGTTTATTTGTGCTGAGCTTTAGGTGATATCTGGTGGTTTTATACGTTCCTTATGCTTTGGAGTGCAGTTGGATTTACTATCCTGTTCAAGTAAGGTCGTGATAGGGCGATGAATTCGTGATACTCAGAATTTAGATAAAATCGACCGTTGTTTGATTTGGCACGTGGACTTGTACCTTTTATGTATGCATTTGTGTGGTTGCTGAGAACGTTTTAGTTGGGGGGTGAGGGAAAATCCGTTATTCAAAAAGTTGTCTTTTGGCTAGACTTTTCAGGAAAGAGTAAACTACTCGGAGTCAGGGATCTCAACGCACATATAACATTGAGGTTTTATTTAGTTTTTTTGTTCTTAATTTAGCCAAAATACGTTTTAATAATTTTATAGAGAACAACAATTTACACCGTTTAGTTGACTGCATTACTGATTAACGTTTTCTGTACATGTCATAAATGCTTCATGCATTGCAGTTGGACTATGGTACTATATTTATGCTCACATAAAGGGAATCTAAGCAAATTTTTTAAGAATTTGTTTACTGTTGAATGCCAAATAGAAACATTGTTAAAAATGACCTTTTTATTAGATTTAAACGAGAATTTGACGCTTAATAGAGCACAATGAAAAAAAAAAATTATTCATATAGTCAATCTCGCGTAGTGAGATAAATGTTTGTTATTGTTGTTTTTGCCAAATGGAAACATGATAGTTAAGGGTAACCTTGCGGGGGTTGGGGTCAGTAGGGCTGGAATAAGGTTTGCAATATGCACTTTGAGCTTCTTTCAAAATTTACAATTTAAATCATGTGTAATGAATAGTTTGTAGATTTACTTATGAATGTGGAAGTGTGTACGAATGGGGATGTTAAACTAATATTAAATATCACACAAGGTTATTTTATGTGTAAGATATAAGATTAAGCAGGTGATCGAGTTATATGACTATTAAGTCCACTAAGAAATAGTTAACTCAAGTGCACAAGTCAAAATATGTTCCATAACACTGAAGTTATCAAAGTTGAATTCAAACATGAGATGTGTTGATGAATAAGATTGTTATGATGACAGAAGAGTGATTGGATATTTAAAATCATTAATGTATTTTCTAGCCTATAAGTGTAGCACAAATTAATTATTATATTCACCACAGAGAAATGAAACCAAGTAGCATTTGAAAATAAAAAAAGAAAGTGCATGTATTGTAAAGTTATAGAGATCCACATGCATAAATATTTTTTACTTGTCTCAACCAACTTTAAGATTTATGTTCATGCCTAACCAACACCCGGACTAGAAATTTACTACCCCGTGCGTCGAACACAAAAATCTTCTTTAACAGGATAGTGCAACCCAAATATACATCGTTCTACATGGGCAAGTAAAACCATATATACTCTCTTCCATTGGGAAAATATAATCGAAACACTTTAATAAAGAGAAATTTTAATAAATTAAAATTTATCAAAACATTGGAGGTCATTAGCATTGTTTAAAATTGCACAATATGAGGCTCGCCTTAGCGCAATTCTGGTGAAAAGTGCCTCGGGGCTTATGGCTTGAGCTTTTTTTTATGAGGCGTACATGTCAAATTGGCTAATAAGGCCCACCTCGCCTAGTTAGCATGAAGCGTATATTTTTTTTATTAAAACTTACATAAATCCTAAACTAAAGCCCCGAAAAAATCATGTCTTCTTACACCCTCGAGCCACAGTAGTTTCCTCTCGACTAATTCGACCTCCAGCTCGCTGCCTCCGCCGCTGCCACCACCGCAGGTATCTGCCGTCATGGATCACTTGAAAACCGCACACCATCATCACCACCTCCTCTAAAAATTTTGAAGTATTGCTCTCATCTTTATGTTGATGACAAACATTCATGAAAGATGAAGATGATTGAAATAAATAAAAAATAAGTAGATTGCAAGGCATTAGACTCTACAGGATGAGAAAGGGGAGAGACTAATTTGTTATGATGATAACTCAAATAAAGACTCCCTCAGTGATGACAGTGCATATGATTTCTGAGTTGTTACCAAATATTTCATCTTTCTTTATGAATTAAATTTAGATGAGTAGGGAACTGGAAAAAAAGGATTTTGGAGTTGAATTTGATGTTAAATGATTCTTATATGCAATTCCTATCATTTATATTATTTTGCTCTTGTAATATTTAAACTTCAATTCTATTTCAAGTAATTTATCACTTATTATTTTACGTCTTGTGCAATTTTTTATTTTATATGTATGATAAATTGTTACTTCATAGTTAAATAGAAATTTAATATGTCATCCTTTAACATATTATTTGAGTATTATATAAAACTCACTTTTAACTGTTAGCTTCACTTTATGCAATTTTTTTTATTTTGAAGCTTACACTTTGCATCACAAACAAAAAATATCTCAATGCCAAATTGCGCAATTTTAAACCTTGACCATTAAAAACTTCACCTTCAAATGCTCTTAACTTAATTTTTTGATGGTAAATATAAAGCAAGCCCTTGATATAAAGATTTAAAATCAAATACAAAACAATTATTTGATAGAAAAACTCCTAGAGATCATGTTAAAATGGTTCCAATATGAAAACCACGAGGAATAAAATGGATGAATACTCTTCAAGAGATTGTACTAAATGGATGGTTAAGTTGAATCAATATATATATATATCTTTAAATTGTGTCATATTCGCAATAACAAAAGTAGAATATTTTTGGAAATTAAGTTTGTATGCATCTAAATAGGAAATTAAGAGGTGGGCTTGTTGTTTTTGATGCAGACTTGTGCTGTTGAAAGTCAAACTTTTGTTGTTGAGAATGATATTCTTTCAAGCAATTAGAACGCAAGATCAGGAAACAAGTTCAGGCACATCAAGTTTTGCTTTGAGATTTCACTTGCAGCTATCTAGAAGTTTGATGAATAATTGGGGGATGGCTCTGGTTTCTTGTTACATTATACATGATTGAAGGATGGCCCCACTTCGATCTTCAGGACACGCTGATCCAGGATGGGATCATGGTGTTGCTCAGGATGAAAAGAAGAAAAAGGTAAAATGTAATTATTGTGGAAAAATTGTAAGTGGAGGCATATACCGATTAAAACAACATTTAGCTAGGGTTTCTGGTGAAGTTAAATGTTGTAGAAAAGCTCCAAGGGAGGTTATATTGGAAATGAAAGAAAATTTGGAAGGATATCAGGGTAGCAGAAAACATCGATTGGTTGAGGGACAAGAGCATTTGTTTGATTTTAAATCAAATGATGATGGTGAAGGGGTAAATATTGGTTACAAATGGAAGGAAAAACAGGGAACCAGCAACCAAAGTGTTGGCCCGAGCTTCACAGCTCTTAGGTCTTCTGGGTTTGTTGATCCTGGTTGGGAGCATGGCATTGCTGTAGATGAGAAGAAGAAAAAGGTGAAATGTAACTACTGTGAAAAGATAGTAAGTGGGGGTATAAACCGTTTTAAGCAGCATTTAGCTAGGATTCCTGGTGAAGTTGCTTATTGTAAAATGGCTCCTGAGGAAGTGTATCTTCAGATAAAAGAAAACATGAAATGGCATCGTACTGGCTGGAGAAGAAGGCCTGAAATTAAAGAACATAATGCCTTTTATGTGAACTCAGAGGGTGAAGAACTTCCAGATGATGGAAACAAGCCTGTTCAGTTGCTTGCTGATAAAGATGTCTGCTGCGGCCAGTCAAAAAGAAAAGTAGAGAGGTCACCACTTCCCGGAGATGGCGATGAAGAGCAGCAGTTAAAGCACTTTTATTCATCTTCTTCATTTCCAAATATGCATGCAAGTCAATTAGCATCAAAGTATAAGCGGGCTAAACTAAAATCAGGGGATATAAAAGACCATAAAGAAGTTATCTCTGCAATATGTAAATTCTTTTATTATGCTGCAGTACCTTTTAATGTCGCAGACTCCTCATATTTCCACAAAATGCTTGATTTGGTTGGTCAGTATGGGCAAGCATTTAAGGTCCCTTCTGCTACTGAAATTTCAGGTCGATTCCTCCAGTATGAAGTTGCCGCAACAAGAGAACAAATAACAGAAGTTAAGGCTTCATGGAATAGCACAGGCTGCACTGTTATTTTAGATAAGTGGAAAGATGTGAGTGGAAGGACACTACTGGATACTCTCGTATCTTGCCCTAGAGGAACATACTATATTTCCTGTATTGATGCATCTGATATAATTGAAAACGTTTCTAGCCTTTTTAAATTTTTGGATGGAGTTGTTCAGGATCTTGGCGAGGAAAATGTAGTGCAGGTATTTTGTTCTCTTAAATCTTGCTTAAATTGCATGATTTACTTCAAGATTACCGTCCTTAATAAGTATTGTCAACTATACAGGTAATCACAGAAAACACTGATTGTTTTAGATCTGCTGGTAAGCTGCTGGAGGAAAATAGAAGATGCTTATTCTGGACACCGTGTGCTATTTATTCCATTGATCAAATACTTGAAGATTTTCTGAAGATAAAATGGGTTGCAGAGTCCATTAGCAAAGGCCAAACGATCACCAAATTCATTTATAACAATGACTGGTTGCTAAATCTTATGAGAGAGGATTTTACTGGAGGAAGAGAGCTTCTTAGATCGGCAGCTACTAGGTTTACTACTAGCTTTTTTACTCTGCAAAGCTTGCTAGCGCATAGGCCAGCTCTGAAAAGATTGTTTCAATCTAGCAAATGGCTTTCTTCTCAATTAGCTAAGTCGGATGAAGGCACAGAAGTTGAGAAAGTTGTCATGAACTCTACATTTTGGAAAAAGATGCAATATATTAGTAAAACTGTAGACCCTCTGTTGAATGTGATTAAAAAGGCTGAAACTAGAGAGGCCTTGCCAATGCCTTTTATCTATAATGACATATGCCGAGTAAAGCTTGCTATAAAAGCTATTCATGGGGAAGATGAGCGCAAGTACAGTCCTTTTTTGAATGTGATAGACAGCTATTGGGAGTCTCTGTTTCACCAACCTCTTTACCTGGCAGCATATTTTCTCAACCCATCATTCCGTTACCGTCCTGATTTCATGGCGGTATGGATATTAAATGTATGATTATATTTTGCAAATGATCATCTCATTATAGTAAATTTGTGTAGTTTTGTGTTAATGTAGCGGCCAGAGGTGATTCGTGGTCTCAATGAATGCATTACTCGATTGGAACCAGATAATGGGCGCAGGGTTTTAGCTGTTGCTCAGGTACTGATTATTTACATATTCTAAGTTTAAACTTTCTTCGTTTTCCTTCTAGTCATATCAGGATTAACAATCATTCCGTCCTCATTTGATTTGGACTTCATCTCATGCTATTTGTCATAGATTTCTGATTTTATTCTTGCTAAAGCTGATTTTGGAACTGAACTGGCTTTAAGTACAAGGGCAGAATTGGATCCAGGTAATTAGGTTAACCCTCTAATTAATTTTAAATCTAATCCTATGAACTACTTGCTTAGTTCAGTATAGGGGTGCAAACGAGTTGAGTCAAGTCGAGTTTAGGTCCTTATCGAGCTCGGCTCGTTAGTTGGAAAGCGAGCTAGAGCTCGTCTCATTGTAAACGAGCTCGAGCCGACTCGTGAGCCATGGGCGAGAATTTTTAAATTTAGGCGAGATTTTTAAAAATTATGTAGGATTTTAAAAAATTAAACGGGATTTTTAAACTTAGTCAAAATTTAGAAAAAAAAATGAAAATTTTAATATTTAAATAAAACTTAGGTGATTTTTTTAATTTTTTTAATATTTAAATTTAATAAATAAATAAAATTATTTTAAAAATATTAAATTTTATTCGAGCCGGCTTGCGAGCTCACGAGTCGAGCCGGCTCAAGCTTGAACTTGAGCTCTTTTACTAAACGAGCTCGAACTCGAGCCCGAGCTCGACTCGTGAGCTTGATGAGCCGAGCCCATAAACAAGTCAAGTTCGAGCCGGCTCGGCTCACTTACACCCCTAGTTCAGTATTCCAAACTGACATGATTTGTCTAGGTGTTCCCTTTTTCTGATCCATGTTATTTTTGCTGATAGCTGCATGGTGGCAACAACATGGTATTAGTTGCTTGGAGCTGCAGCGAATCGCCATTCGCATATTAAGCCAGACATGTTCATCCTTTGGTTGCGAACACACTTGGAGTGTCTTGGATCATGCTCGTAGTTCGAAGCAAAACCATTTGGCTCAAAAACGAATGGATGATATTACATATGTTCACTATAATTTACGACTTAGGGAGAGGCAGATGAAGCCAGCAAGTAATAACTTTATATCTCTTGATAATTTCTTGTTAGAAAACACGTTGGCTGATTGGGTTATTGGGACTGACAAAAGAGCTTTGCAGGAAGAGGAGGTAAATCATTTCCATTTCCTTGCATGTTTCATATATTTTCCATGTTTAGGCAAACTTTTGGTTTTGGTACTGTGCATACTTGCTTCTGATATTCTATGTGGATCGTCGCCATAATATTTGCATTTGTTCGTGTGAACTAAGTGTATATAGAATGTAGAAGAGCCAACTAGTGTTTGGAACTCGGAATCGCTTTCACTGTTTCTTGACAATGTAAAGCATCATTCAACATATCTGTAATCACTGGTGCTGCTTCCTAGCAAGCCTTTGGCTGTTCAAATTTCTTGTCAATACTCGAGACCTCAAATGATGATTTCTACTGGTCCGTGATGTTACCTGACCGTGATCCAATTATGTGTTTTCTTTTGTAACTTACTTTCAGGCTATAAAACATGAGCTCTTATTAGGTTGTGGAGCATGAATTTTTCCCTACAAAGAAAGCGCATTCTATGGAGATTTATTCGCTGGTCTAATAATATTTGTGGGTTATTTTATTAAAAAGGCGTTTTGAGGATTTTATCGTATTTTTTTACTGTTTTAGATTTCTCTTTATATGGAGGGGGCACATCTTTATATTGTAACCAAGAAATTACATTTGCAATTATACACAATAAAATCATAGTTTGCGCCTGTGGAAACAAAACTTAGCCATCAATTGGGTAAACATGTATTAAATTCTGTGTTTTTATGGTAAATTTGTATTAAATTCTGTGTTTTTTATGCGTTTATCTTTTTTTTTTTTAATGCGTTGACTTTTTCTATTCCAATTAGGTTTTGTCTATTCACCAACAACTCTAGTACTAAAACACCACAATTTAAAACACTGATGTGGGATGAACAGCTTTTTTTAGGTGTATGAGGCCTCATTTGAGACGGGCTTAATTTTGTCTTTGCAAAGTATTTTTTTTGTTATTGTTTGTACGTAACACTTTTGTAAAATTGTTTTTTACGGAATTTCATTTTTGTATTGTTTTCAAAAGCTTTTTAGTATTGGCTTCTTTGTTAGAAATCTCCATTCTCTCCAACAAAGTTTTTAAAACTACCTTTCACAGAAGGCATCAGGTAACCAAACGAAGCCCGAGTACTCAATTTATTTTAAAGTTGAAAAATGAGATTTATGAGATGGCTTCTTAAAGGCCTTGACAACCTCTCTAGAAAGTAATTTGTTGCTGGACCGGTCCAGTCGGTCCATGCGGGACTGGCCGAGACACGAAATGGCGGAAGTTTTTCGCCTGGGCGGAGGCCGCGCGAGCCGCTCGCCTTTTGATTTGTATGCATTAAATAGTTGATTTTCCTAGGCTTTGATCATCTTGAATTTGGCTGAAATTTGAGCTCTCTTAGATTTAGGTTTTCTTTGGGCTCTAGCGGCGTCTTGAGATTTTGGAGAGATCGGTCCTCCTCTCGAATAGAGGATCAAGTGTATCTTGCTGTTTTTATTCTTCTATTAGTGAAATACAAGTGTTTTGCTTGGTTTTATTTCAGATTTCCACCCAAATTCCTCTGTTTTCTGCTGTAGACAGCAGAATTTCTGCTGTTTGCTCTTCTGTTTTGACTAGGTTTGCTTGCGAACTCAAGTATTACCTTAGGGTTACTTGCGAACTCGAGTATTTCCTATCATAATTCTGCTTTGTAGATTACGGCTTTGTTTGGGACGATTTTGTTCTTGCTTTCTAAAGCAACTTTTTAATATAAAAATTTCTTGAATTTGAAATTATTGTACTAGAAAGCCGTTTTACAAAGATTTACAAAAGCTGTCCCAAACGAAGTCTACATGTTCAAATCGTTGGCTTGAATATTCATTTGATGGCCTCTTGATAATTTTTGCATGGTAATGTACCAGGAAATTCCTTGTGATGGGATGGTACAACGAGGAACTCATCAACATGAAGTGAACGATCAAGAGTTCTTCAATGTAGAGGTGGGGAAAGTTCATGGCGATGTGTTAGAGCATATTGATGACACTTCAGTTCATCTTTCAAGCACTGGAGCTGTCAATGATGATGATGATGATGCTGACCTTGACTTCCTTGATGAAGATTATAGTGATTAGCTTATGTATGATGTTCATTTATGCTGTTACATAAAATAAATTGCTGAAAGGTGCTTTGTAATTTATGCCCTGTAAATATCCAGTGCTGGATCTTGAGTTATTGGTCGATGAAGATTGTATCTTACTTGCAATTTGTGTAGAGAAATGTATATTTTTGTACTGGTATTGTTCTTTTCTGTTGTGATTTTCTCCATGTTGGTATGATATTGATATATGGCTCTGCAAACAACAATTGATGGTCATTTCATGGCTCTGTATTCATCTTGCTTTAACTCTGGTGTTTTTTAATTATTAAATTAGGACAAAATGAATAAATTTGATAATTTCGGCACTCAATTCGATCAAATTGATTGGTTTATGATTGTTCCTCAATGACGGGAGACAAATTGTACATCCTTTAGGTCAATAGACTGCTTAATTACATGAATCAAGTCATGTTTAGCCATTGTGTTTTTTTTCCAATTTTAATGGTTTCAGTTTAGGGTTTTTGGTACACCAACTCATTTAACTGTGAGAGTTACCGGTTTTTAGCTGTTCTAATTTTAGATTGAGGTTTTCAAAGTAATTTTTTAATCCGGTTCTGAAATGGTGGACACCGTCGGCCGGGAACAGCAGTATTGCATAAAGCTCCGGTTTGGATAATCTTTTCTGGACTCCCGGTCGAATAAAGGCAACGAGAGAGAGAAAATCCTCCTTCTCACACTATTTGTGCATTCATCTTTCAGCAAAGTTGTATTTGTGCTAGGGAACCTAAAGATATTTAGGGGCTGTTTGGTTGCCTGAATTAGGGGGTAAAGTAAAACAAATATATGCATTTATTAAATTCTGCTGTTTGGTTAATTTCGAGCTGAAGAGAAAGAAAATCATCTGAAACATTAGGCGTCCGGAGGCGGATCCCGCGCCTTCCAAAGCCACTGAGCGGGTTTGAAATTCTTCGTTCTCCTCGTGCAATCCCTCCTGCGAAGAGCGAAGTCGAACAGCCAAGAGGGAGCCGAAGTCGAACAGCCAAGAGGGAGCCGAAGTCGAATAGCAACGAAGGAAGGAGCGATCCGTGCGGTCAGTCGCTCTCGCGCGAATGAACGAAGTCGAACGACGATCTCCGTCCCTTTTCCATCATCGTCACCTTCCTTGACGATCTCCGTCCCTTTTCCACGGCGCTTACTCGCTCGGCCGTGCTCGGCCTCTCCGATCTTCACGTTACTCTTCAGAAGCTTCTCCTCGCCGACTGTGCTCGCGGTGGCGCCCGCCTCTGGATCCTCCTTAACGCCAATCGTATCGCAGGCGAGTTCCGCGTTCTTCTCCGCTCCGTCTCCATCGCCCTCGAATTCATACCGCTCGACTCCGTGGACCTTTCGGCTGAAATCAAAGACCTCGTGCGCCTCCTGCATTAAATGAAATGTTGCAGCCTGAAGGTACGTACAAACAATCCTATAGCTACGGGGGTGCCGCTGATCAACGACACGATGGTGTTTTTGGGCGCGGTTACCAGCGGTGCGATGGCCCCTGCACGGCCATTTTCTGCGGTGGCGGTGATCGCCGGGCTTGCCGCGATTAGGTGGACCTTGCGGCAGGGGCTGCTGTTCTAGACCAAGGATTCATCCAAGCGTTTGTTTGTGCGTTTGGTCCCACTCTCTTCAGTTGGTGAGCCCAGCAGCTCTCTCTCTCTCTCTCTCTCTCTCTCTCTCTTCACTTTCCGCTGCAGCTGCAGTTGGTTGAGCTTTTGCCGCGGAGGTGGGAAGTTGGCGGTGGCCCGGCAAGGTACTCTTTTGCGGCAAGAGGCGCGTGGGGATCTGTGGAGTTTCTTTTCTTGAGTATTTATTGTTTTTGTTTCTGTTAATTTTTCTTTTGCATAATGAGATTAAAGGAGGATATACTTGTACGTGCTCTGTTTTACTGATTAATTTGATTTTTATTTTAATTATTTTCATTTAATTTGTTGCTCACATTCTTAGAACATTTCTAACGGAAAAACTTATTTACTTTGCAGTTCTCCTGCAAAGTAAATCATGGATGGTTGCATGAGTATCCATGATTTCTATCAAATTACTTTAAAAAAAAATTTATTTTTACTCTAGATCTACCTAACCAAACAAGGTAAACAGTTCTCCTGCGTTTATTTTGCAGACAACCAAACAGTATCAACATATTCGGAATAAAGTAAATTTACTTTACATTGCATTTACTTTACACTGCATTTCTTTTTGAGGCAACCAAACAGCCCCTTAGTATGTTTTAAGTAGAAAAAGAAGTGCAATTGAACAAATTTAGTTGTTCTAATTTTGGATGTATAAAATTTTTTTGAATTAAAAATTTTTATATTAAAAAGTTGCTTTAAGAAAGTAAGAAAATTATTTCAAATAAAACTTGAGATTGATTTGCTCTTTTACTGCATTGAGATCCGCTTTGGTTCAAAGGGATTTGATTTTGAATCAATTTATTTGAATTAGTTCGATTGCTACCCATAAGTTCGACTTTTTTTAACATATATAAAAATTTGGAAGTTATCCTAAAATTACTAAATTTTTGTTCAAAATAGGCAGAAAGATTTAAGTCAAGCTTTTTATTTGTGAATTAGCTAATTCAACTTGATTTAAGTTTGACATGTTATTATAAACTTCATTTGATTAAGAATGAATGTTGATATTATTTTGTTGCAACTCCCAAAGTATTTGAGTTATAAATTTTCAAAATTGTTATTTGTATCATCTGAAATTATTTTAGAGTGAACTTATAATCATAACAAATGTTTTAATAAGAAGAATATAATGATAGCAATAACATTCAGATTTGAATGCACATCAACTAACATCAAGTGCACGAAAATATGGTTGAAAATGTCACAAGGACATTTGAAGACTCAACTTCCTTTGAATATCAAGTGCTTATTGCCGAAGAGCTTCTATTGATATCATTAAAACATCAATATATTTAAAAAATATTCTATGATAGTCCGAAGACCAATCAAAATGTGTCACATCACCCGGTACCAACAGTACCCTAAACACCGGTACCGAACAAAAAAAATGACATGACGCATTCTTGTTGATCTCCAGATAACATCCGGTGTCCGCACATAACAATTTATCTCAAACAGAACCGCGAAACTTAAATGCTCAACCAAAATCAGGATACACTCAAGATAACATGTAAAACAAATCCAGATCTTCTGAATGTTTTCAATACTTCCAGTCTGAGCTCTGGCCAAATTATTACGTCCTCCGACCGGATGCAGAGAAACATCCGGTCGCAGGCAAAATCCCGCTGTACCGAGGTGTACCGAGTTTTTTTCGAAAAACTCAGTACACCTCGGTACAGCGGGATTCGGTCTACGACCGTATGTTTCTCTTATTCGGTCGACCGGACCAAATAAAACTTCAACAAATTTACCAATAGGAAAAATACATCGTATTAGCGGAAGAGCAATTAGCTCTTCTACACGCTAATTGCTCTTCTTCGGCTGCGCTAAGCCTTTAACATCTGTAGATTTAGAATCCCGAGTTCCGGCTATTTAAGGATCAGGGATCTCAGTTGAGATGCGAAAATCAGATAAAAATAGAAATAAGATCGAGCTTGATTTTCATGAAGTGTTCACTCACAATATGTTAACAAACCAGAATTGGTGTAAATCTGGATTAGAAATTAAATTGCAATCAAGGAATGATAATTTAAGAATTCATGAAGTGTTCCTGATATAATACCTTTAATTATATTAATATGCAATTCAAAATTACAACAAATCTAAGTCCAAACAATTTCCAGATCATGAAAAAGAAAACATTACTGTACGACAATAAAATTACTAAACAAACAAGCTGCATGCGAGGTTCAGCAAAAAGCAATTGGAACTTGGAGGATAAATTACAAACAAAATCATTAAGATTCAACAGATGGTCCACCTGGCCTAGCGTTTAGAAGAGGCTGCAGAGCTTTTACAACAATGCTCATGTTCGGCCGGAAATCAGCTTCGTATTGTACACATAAGGCAGCGACGGCAGCAAACTGACATGCAAATAATATTAGACATTATTAAAAACAACTAAATTGGGTCAAGATAATATACATTTCATGAACGAAATACTTGAGCAGAAACAAAATTTTAAAAAGTTCTAAATTGACACCCATAGTTCCATTTAGGGGTGCCAAAACCGGGTTTCGGGTCGGGTTCGAGTCGAAGTCGGAACTGACCCGGGTTCAAACAGGTCGACCCTAACCCGACCCGGGGTATGTAAACGGGTTGGAAATTCGAACCAGGATCCGACCCAGAGGGTTGCCAGGTTGACTCAACCCGACACGGTTGAGCTTCTGGAGGCGGTGGGACGGTGGAACGGCGGGCTGCAGGCGGCGGGCGGACGGGACGGCGAGCACCGAGGAGGGCAGCCTTGAGCGGACGCGAGCGGGCACGCGCGGGCATCCGCTGGCGCGTGGGCGGCCGTTGGCAAGCGCGGGCAGCCTCAACGGGTGTTCGGGCAGCCGCGGGCAGGTGCGCAGGCAGCCGGGGCAGGTGCGGGGAGTCTCGAGCATCTCATTTCAAACGGGTTGCTGGGTCCCATCGGGTCAACCCAAACCTGACCAATTTTTCAAATGGATCGAACCCGAACCCTACCCATTTTGAAATTGGGTCGGGTCTAACCCGAAATTTCCAGGTTGGGTTCGACACGGGTTTTCATGTCGTGTCAAACATTAACACCCCTAGTTCCATTGCATGATCGGTAGGGTAACTAAAGTTCTTATCAAGAGAGCATTTTTTGGGATCTGGTTGCATGAAATCACAATTGAGGCAGCTTGGCAACCAGCCAGTATTATCAGCAATAATAATAATTGCATTCATTTTTATTAAAATTATTAGGGATAATTCAAATATGATTAATCAGCTGAAGTAAGCTGCTTCTAACAAAGAAATAACATTAGAATAGTTGTTTCTATCAAAATATCAAAGGAAAATTGTCCATCATCCACAACACAATGAAGAATCGCATAACACAAGGACAGAAGCACATGAAAATTACCTTGGCGACAGCCTTGGGGGGATAGTCTGTTCCTAGTCTAGTGTCAACACACTGCCTAACTTTATCTTCACTAAGCCTTGGTGCCGCCTGAACATCAGGCACAAACATATTATCCAAGGGAAAATAACATATTAGATTCTAGATTTAGAAGGAACTGGAGTGAGAGAAAAGACTAATTACCCAAGTGACGAGACTTTGTTGGCCCCGTGGTAATGTATGATCAACAGGTTTGCGACCGGTCAATAGTTCTAAAAGGACAACTCCAAAGCTATAAACATCGCTCTTAGCACTAAGCTGCCCAGTCATTGCATACCTGCCACATCCCATTGCATATTATAACCAGAATTACTTCAACAGAGAAGATATGAGAAAACACATGGTAAGCTATGCAGAAAATTGAAACGATCCTGCTACCAGAATTCAAAAAAACTTACTCTGGGGCATGATATCCAAAAGTTCCAAGAACCCTAGTAGAGTGCAGACGAGCTGCCATGTCAGGAGATTGATTGGAAAGATCAAAATCAGCAATCTTTGCCACATCTTCATCAAAAAGTAGTATATTGCTAGACTTAATATCTCGGTGAATAATACGAGGTTGAGCTTTCTCGTGTAGGTATTCAAGCCCTCTTGCTGCTCCTACAGCAATTTTAACTCTTTGAGTCCATGAGAGAACCGGACCTGGCTGTGCACCCTTAACTCCCTTGCGCCCTGTGTAAGCAAGCCATCAGTCAGATTGTCTCTGCCGTTCAGTAGGACTATTAAGTCCCTCACGCTAACAGTATTAAGACAGTAACATAATCCAGCAATTAAAACAATATAAGAATCTACAAAGAAGAATACAGAAAATAAACATGCGGAAGGTTTAGGTTAGCATTAAGCTAGGCTAACAACTTGTAGTTTTTTTTTTATAATGTAGAATGGTTATGGTTTGAGTTTAATAATGTAAACTGGGATGAGATGCAAAATGAAAACACAAAAAACCCACGATCTATTGTGACAACTTTAGATTTTACACAAAATTGGTCATTTTCATTCAAAAATAATAGAGACAATTCTTTCCTTTCAAACAATAATATAATAACCTCAAACATTTGGCATATCATAAGAAAAATAATGAACAAACATTGAAGTTTGTAATGGCCAAAATTCATTCTATAAAAATAAATGAAATATATCACATTTGAAAAAAATTTAATCACACACACAAACACCATTAAACAAGAAGATAACAAGAACAATAATAGAAATCACCCAATAGAAGTTCCATGCCTCACACCGGTTGAAGGAAACCTACAAAAGGCTCAAAGAATACCGACCAAATAGAATACACATAAGAATTAAAGAAAATTAAATTTACTTTACCTATCAATATTCATTTAAGTTTACGTACGTCAAAATCAAAGGTACTATTTATAACCAAAAAAAGACTCAAAAACTATAAATTTTTAAAATCTGTAAAGATCCCATCTTATATAATAGGTTTCAATACTTCACACAAAAGATCTCACAAGCTCCAAATTTTCCAGGCAAAAAGAACTCTTGGCTTTCCTAAAAAAATTAAGTTGCTGTTGTGCTAGCCAAAAGAACTACCGACCGAAAGCCACAGTAGGAAACTACCATTCTGATGCTATATTTTAGTGAACAAAAGATCCCATATAATCACAACCCTGAAAGATAAACGGCTAAGGCAAAAACTACAACAATCCCATTAATAACTTCTTGCATATCGCTACATCCCAATAAATTACTGCTAGTTGAAAGAAAGTGTCATTGATTGCAGTCATGAGAGAGCATAGTAGTACTAATTTGTAGAGACGAGGATTCCACATCAATCTGCATGGCTTAGAAAACTTTTGGCACCAATATATTGAAAATTGAATAATTATTATGCCAATTTAGGCAACATTTTTGTGCTCCTACAAGCCAGCCCATAAATCATCATACATAACAGTAAAAGGACCAAAGTGATCCCTTAACTCATTATGAATGACTAAAATGATCCCCAACTATATTAAAAGATCATTTTAGTCTCTCAAGTCCTTAAAAAGGAACCAAAATAGTCTCATGTTGGAACTATTTCAATTCCTCTTTAAAAAGTTGAGGGACCAAAATAATCCTTTAATATAGTTGGAAACTATTTTGGTCTTTCATAGAGTCAAGGGACCATTTTGATTCTTTTCTCTACATAAACCAACCATCGCATTGCAAAAAACAAACTTATGTTATCCATCATCAATAGTGGACAGAATCCCTACATATAAGATAACCAATTAAGCCTAAGGACCAAATTTATTGAATAAGGTGATGGATGTGAATCAACAAGGATACAGAAAGAAAAAAGATCAATAGCTTTAGTGATAAGTTCATCCAATAAGGTGAATTAAATACATTTAAGATTTGAATACTACCAGATCCTCTCCAAAGTTCTATTCCATAAGAATTTATCCAATGTGTTATATGGCTTTATATCTCTTCATTTTTCTTGCAACAACAACAACAACAACATGAGGTTAGCAACATGAATCTTTTTTCTCCAATTATTTCCTATAAAGTGTCAAATTTTCATTTAATTCTAATAAAAAATACATCATTTTTAAAACTTTATAACGAAGTCTTTTTAGGTCTACATCTACCTTTCTTAACATAGGTTGGATCTAATACATTTACTCTCCTAACAAGGTTTTCGGAAAGCCACCATTTTATGTGATCAAACCATCTTATGACGACTCTCTCTAATTCTATCTACCACTAAAGCTACTCCAACCTTTTCATGTGTATGCTCGTTTCATATTCTATCTCTAAGTGTAAAGCCACTCATCTACCTGAGCATTCTGATCTATGCAATACTTAACTTAATTTTATGCTTCTGCTTTAATGACCAACATTTTGCATCATAAAGCATAGCAGATAGATCTTACCACCATCTTATTAAATTTTCCTTTCTTTTTCTTGCAATAATTTCTTTAAAAATCCCCATAAAAAGCTGTCCATAATTTTCACGTACCATTACCTTGTCACCGACTTTGAATTCCCCATGTCTCATATTCATATCAATAATAATCTTCTAATTATCATAATCAATAGCTAGTTTTCTAGGAATCCCTTCATGCATACACGTTATGCAAATCATACAAATAATATGAAATAAATAATGAAAACACTATGATGTCATCATGCATCCAAAGGGATACTATTAATAATTTATAACCTACTCCTATATGATGAGATGATTAAAAAAATGAAAATATACATGCTACAAAATATAACAACAAAAACAATAACAAAAAGATTTTATCCTACTACATGGGATCAATTATATGAATCATTTATCTCCATTGTGCCCCATTAGGAGTCAAATTATCCTTTAAATCTAATAAAAAATATCATTTTTAATACTTTCAAATAGACCTGTCAATTTCGGGTTACGGGTCGGGTTGACCCGTTTTTGCAAACGGGTCGGTTTTCCGGACCCGAACCCGACCCGTTTCGGGTTCGGGTCAACCCAAACCCGAAAATTCCGGGTCGGGTTTTCGGGTCGGGTCCAATATTGACAGGTCTACTTTCAAACCAAGAAAACTATAAAATGACTATAATATGAACAACCTCCTTAAGAAAACTAACCCAAATTACTTAAGTACTAAAGATGATGATTTATAGATATTCATATTCAAGCTGATTTTTAGACATACCTTTGTTAGATTTTTAATTAAATGTGTAATCAATTTGTTAAATTTATTTATCATCTTTAGTGGGTGGCAAAAGTTGTTTACAATCATTTTATGATTTACTTTATCAATTTGCTCATTGGACTCATCAACTATACAGTCAGGAATAGATTCAATAGCTTTTAAAAGTTAGTTTCATATCCAAAGTTTTCTATGGGAAATTCAAATTCCCACTATAAAATAAATTAGAACTCTAACAAAAGCTCAAGTTGAAATCCAAGCTATTAGACGTTTAAGTTCACCAATAACGAAGAGTCATTTTTTATTGAGAGTTCAAATTCACATCAGGTTCTACTATGGGTTCAAATATTACTGTAGGTTCATTTTGAATTGCAATTTTTAGTTTCCAATGTAGGTTTAGATTCAAACTCAATTTTAAAATTCAAATTCGGGCTTTGACAGTTGTTTAAATGTAGATAGAATAATATGCACTAATATAAATGCAAATTTGGAGTACACAACAAAATCATATTCAGACTTATATTGCAAGTAAAATCTTATTTAATATCTAATACATCCTTAAAAAGCAGTAATGCACTATAATTTCATAGATAGGATCATATTTAACTACAAATGATTATTTTTTTTGTTATATGTTTGATAGATATGAGGAGAAGATAATGTTTTCTCTATAAGGACTTCAACTATATTTATTTTATTGATCATTTGATATATTTTTACATAAACCTCTTTCGACTGATTGTACACATTAATCAAATTCTCACCTTTTGATAATTGAGCTTAATGTAAATCCCAACTTTTTGTCATTTTTAAATCATGCTTGATAGAGAAAAGGTGATGAAGACAAAAGACATGTACCAGTCAATATCACAAAAAGAAGGAATTTAAATTCTTCTTTTAACAAAATCATACATGAGCCATCAAAATTTCTTGTGTTCGATCAATTAATCAAATGTAAAGTTTAGAGTACAAATTTTGATATTGTTAACCCAAATGAATATAGATGATGTATCCATATTTATAGGGACAAAATAGTTGATCTATCCAAATATCCACAAAAATCATACCCAGAAATCTATTGCTCGCTTTGAGCACATGGATACCCAATCAAAAATTTGACAAAATTTAGTAATCAAAATCAAGGTTTTAAAAACTCAATTTTGGTCCATCATAAAACTCAATTAGGGTAATCTTGATAGTTTCATCAATTCGAGATTAAATTTTGTCTATATTTTTAAATATAATTTTTATATAAAATGTTATAAAATATATACAAGTTATCAAATAAGACGATTATGTAATTGAGGTTCAAATTATAAGACATGAAATTTGATGGGCGCAGTGATAGAATTCTAGTTTAATTTTAATTACTTACATTTCCCTCAAAATCTATGAGCTTCGGATGAAATTCTCGAGTTTCATTTAAAACTTTATCGAAAATTTAACCTATCATATAAACTCTAGAAACCAACCAAAAATATTAATGAGTTTCATTCATATTGAGCTCAATTGAATCTGAATCAAAACTTAAGACCAAGATCAAAATAACGTCCAATGTTCTATCACATCAATCCCATAGTTCTTGTACCCATATTTTATCCAATTAGTCAAAAAACTTTCTTGGGTTGAGGACCACCATTAATTTCATAGGACTCCTTAAAAATAGAAACATCTAATTTCAAAGGACTCGTTAAAAATAGAAACTTATACTTAGATATGAAGTCATGATCAAAGATATAATATCTTAATTTGATTGAATGATTGATAAAATATGAGAGAATCGACTAGATTAGACAATAAATATGCCAAATTCGAAGGAAGATGTTGAAGTCAATTTTAAAAAATTTATAATGCAAGAAAATATTATGAAATAATTTATAGGCTCAACAGAGTATGACATAGGCCTGCCACGTGGAGATTATATGATATTAGCTCTTAGTTGTTGCATGGTATATAGGATAAACAAAATCTCATATAAGAAGTCAATGCATATCAAAACATGGGAATGACAATCTTTGAATTTATTGTCATCGAAAGCATCATATAAATCATTAATTTATGTGCAATTAGTTTATGTATTTTCTTTTCAATAGTTAAGGACCTAAGGTACATTTCATTTGTCATTTTTGTACTTAAAGAACATGACATAAATGATGGCCAACAAAATTGTATTTCTTAGCTTTAGGTTAGTTTATTTGGTAGGCATAATTTCAATCTTAATTTAAATGTGTAGGTAATTCCCACAAAAATTTGAGGGTATGATGAACGACATTTTATCTTCAATTATTAGTGAAAGCTGCATTTACAATTTGTTGTTGAAAGCCGAGAAAAAAAATAAAAAATAAAAAAATGTGCAAGTTTTAGATTCTTAACTTCTGCAGACAACGGCTGTGATTTTTTTAGCCGATGCTTGTGGCATTCATGAGTTGCGGGTAACCCTGGTGGCCTTTGCAAGTGCATGGGTACTATAAGCTTCAAGTGTCTCTAAATGCGCGGCTTTGTTGTATTCTTATAAGCAAGCCATAACATGTGGTTTGGAACATTCAAGGGTTTGTAGTTTTGCCACAATCTTGATGATTTCACAATGGCATGGTTATTGTTATTCAGTTGATTTAAATATTTAAAATTAAGTTGGCAATTTTTAGTAAGGTGAAATTAATTTAAAGTTCAATTGAGACTGATCCTCTTATCAATTATATCTATTAGCATAAGTTATGATAAGTCAATAATTAGTTGATCATAAGCAAGTAATAAAAATGTGTACCTTCAATAAAATTCCTCTTTCTAGTTTCAATTTATAAGTGTCAGCTGGCCTCACATAGTGGGATAAAGGCTTGACGTTGCTTTAGTTTCAATTTATAAGTGCAAATTGATTGTGCGGTTATAAAAATACACCCAACCCATCTAAAAATTATAACCCTAACATAATAATTCGAAACTTCCAGTTACTTACACACTCACAAACATGATACGATAATAGCAATTAAAATCCACAATACTTGAACGCATTCAATACATGATTATTGCTTACCATGAAGAATATCATGAAGAGATCCCATTGTTGCAAACTCATATGCAAGGACACGGAGACTACCATCAACATAATATCCAAGCAGCTCAACAACATTTTCATTCTTTAATCTTGATACCATTGATACCTGAGGAAACATTTTTTTGAGGGACGCATAAATAAAAATTTGAGAAAATAGCTTTCATGCAATTGGGATAGTCACCTGGGCAAGAAATTCTTGGTCCGGTTGTTTACTGGAATCTAATTTCTTTAAAGCTGCAGCTTTACCATTTTTTAGTACACCATAATACACTCTACCATACGAGCCCTCTCCAATCAAAGCATTGTTCCCAAAATTATCAGTCACTTCTTTTATTTCTTCTACAGGAATTACGGGGACTTCAATAGGTTGCACTTTCACAGTTTGAACACCCTTCGGGGCAGGATCAGATGTGCGGTAAGATCCGTCATTGCCTGTATGTGATTACACGATACATCATCATTAGCCCTATCCCTTTTGAATGGTATATGCATATCTAATAAACATAAAATTAAGCGATTGGTACAAAACAAGAATGGAAACGCCTTTGGTTGGTTTGTTCTATGTTGCAGCTGGTCCCTAGATTTGCCATAATGCCCATTAGGCTTCAGAACTAAAGCAATGAATGAATAGAATTTGCCAGATAGTGCTCAACTATATACAATTAAAGTTTTGATCTTAAAGTTAATTTAAGATAAAAAACATTTCATTCGATGAACAAAGCAACACTTGCGTTTACAAAGAACTTTAAATCATCATAATTTCTCTCTCCACGTATACAACGTCCTTAAAGCGCACCACTCCACAGAACTCAATCCACAAACAAGAACAAAAATAAGCATGAATAGCACACAAAGACAAACCAAAACTGAAAAATATATATATATAAGAAATTGTCATTCCCTTTGTAAGGTGCCAAATTGTAGTTATCTCACGTTGGAGGACCTTGGTGTCAACACACACAACAAAGCTATGGTTATTGCCACTGTAGGCACCTCGGGCGTCCTCAACTCTTCTACCTTACTAAGAAAATTATTAAACTAATTCAACTTCTGTAGAACTAAAAGGATGGTACAAGTGCAGTTAATAGTTGTTCCACTTCATCAAAAGAACCATTTTCATTAAAGATGTTACCATGTAACAATTGCATTCCCTAGAAAGAATTCTGAACTAATTATTGATAAAGATAGCAAGGATTACCTGCATCAAATAAACAAGAATTCCACACAGCAAAGGTAACAAATTAGTAGAAAATAATACCTGCTGTCTGGCTTGCAGGAAAAGCACCCCCCTTAACAGGTGCACTGTGAATATCTTCTTCTCCACAGCATGCAAAGCACGACATGAGTTATTTATTTTAATGCTGCTCTTTCTCAGAAATACCTTGAATCTTCATTAAAAAAAAAAAACAATATGGAATCAATATAAGCACACAAACATCTGCCAACAATATTGCCACTCATAAGCAATGAGAATTCAAATGATTGTATAAGGTTAGAAAAGACAATGTCATCTTAGCCCGTTTCCTGAATTTAAAGGGCAAAATTCAAAAACAGAAACAAAAAAATCATGTTGCTGGGAGATGCTATGATGACAAAACTAAATTTATAATTCATAAACTAAGAGATTGGGAAAATTAGCAAGCATATCTACAAATTTGATGATTGAATCACACTTTCAAGAACAATGAACTTGTAACATATTAATATAGTAGCAAGCTTACAGCTTTTAGAATCATGGTAGGATCAATACAATCAAATCAACCCATCAATATAAATAACAAAATACAAAATGTCCAAGTTAACCAAAGCTATTGCATCATCTGCCCCAATGATGGCTTCTAATAGAAGTAAAGAAACTGTCTAAAAACTTGTTTGGATAAGATAAAACATATATCCATATCAAATATCAAACACTTTTCAGATAAAAGAGTGCATACCCTAATTACCATTCACATGAAAGCATGAAGGGATAGCATAGTTGAGCATGTAATTCATATGCAGAAATACATCAGAATTAATAAGAATTAAAGAAGAATGGGCAGGAAGATGGGTTCATCCCTCCATGTGAGGATGACAAATGCATATGAAAACCCGCCATACGAGGAAGATTCATGCATATGAATTTATTGCATTGCATGAATTCCTAAGCATCTTTTGGGAGTTCCCAAGTGAAGGAGTTATTTCATGGGTTGCTATCGCGTGTTCATAAATGCATGCTCACATAGAGCAGTGGAAGACTTGTGTATTTTGTAATTACTAATTCATTTAGGGGAACTAATACACTTCCTTAGTAATACCAAGTAGTGTGTGGTAGGAGAGTTTGAAGTTACTTTCATTTGCTAGCATGACTTGCAACAGAGTGAGAAAGATGGTGCCGCTCAAGATGATAAGGTACTACTCATACGATCCACAAGAAGTGAAGGCGTCATCCATCAATGTGGTGATCAAGACTATTTGATCAAAGTTGTCAACAAGTTCATTCTTGCTGTCCACTTTGGTGAAAAGAATTTTGATTATAATCATCTGGTAGTCTGATAAGGTAAAATTGTAATACCATTATATCATATAAAGGAATTGGTTAGGCATGGCCTTGTAGCATTTGTAATTGGGCTTTCCACTAAAAAACATTATTTCCTTTAGTTGTTTTGGTCTGCTTTTCTGTTGTTATTTATGAATAGATATGTAAAAGGTATTATGCATTTGCTCTTACAAACCTAAGAATTGGTATCGGAACAAGGTTGGTTTCTTATGTGCATATAAACAATGTAGATACAGAATGCAAGAATGATTTGAACTAAAGGTGCTAACTAAAGCATATGGACTCATGGCATGGAAGACTTCTTGTTAGGATTTGCTGCCAAAAGAAGAACAACAATTGATAGTATTTCTCATTTTTGTATCTACATAAGCTTATGTGTCCACTTGGAAGAAGTTGAAAGGCCTTTATAAGAAAAAGTTAAAACAAGAATAAGGCTTTCTTGATTCATCGGCATATCAACCTAAGTACAAAGACTAAAGTTCAATTATAAAGCACTTAAATGAAATACAAAGCATCATCAATCAACTCTACTCATGAAAACAACCCCTGATGATGAGTTGTGGTGCATGCTATTATTTAAGTTCTATGTCTGTCAATTGAGATACTTTAATGGTGTTTCTTAGCAACTCATCACCTGATGGCATGATCTCCATGAAGCTCATGATCCTAAGGATATTGAATGAAGAAACAAAAAGAAAACCAACATGACCATCATCATAGAAGTGTTCGTCACTTGGAAGTTAGGGAGAAGTCAACAAATGCAAGAACAAGAGCGTGGCAAGTCCCAAGGAAAATCCTAAACAAAGATGAATGTCAAGCATTTCTAGGATGAACAATTGGGGCATCTGAAAACTTGAAAAGTAATATAGCAAGTTGAAGCAAGATCAAAAGTAGCAGAAAGGGGAAGCGAAAGTTTAAGTGATGGAGGGTACCACAACTACCATCTTTACTGTTACTCCTGTCAAAAACTAAACTGAAATCATCTGACTACGGATGCCAAGCATCCATTAGATAATGCAAACTACTATAAATCACTGGCAGGCAAGAGAGAATATGGTCTTTCTATAATTCAGCCACTTTTCTCCCGTAGTGATCATGTATCGTCCCTAACTGATTCTGTTTTATCAGATTTAACCAAAATAGTTACAAATCCAAATGAATCAACTAGAAGCTGAAACCCTTTTTACCCCTACTGGGTAATAGAAGATAGCACGTAATATGAAATTTCATCATACACACCAAAAAAACCTTATTTTAGAATTTACTTGTCTTTACAGGTCGCGTGCAACAATAATCCAATTTAAGAAAAGGTGGAACACAATCAACTACCATTTCCTAGTACTGCTTGAACGTAAATTATGGCCAGGCTGGTTTTCGAACTTCATAAAGTAGTTAAGCAGCAGTAAATTTCTAAACAGATGAGAAATTTCTTTAGGTTACGGTTTTCTACCCTATTCTAACCTTCACTACAGTCGACCTAAGATCAGATCAAACTGTATCAGAAGTAGTAAACAATAATCATAATCCCAGAAGAAGAAGCCTGAGTCGGCGCACATCTATCGAAAAGAAGAAATCGACAGAACATGAGAACTCGCGGACAGTTTAAGTCTTCAGAACTGAAATCTCACCTCCCACCCTCTCGAAGACAAATCGGCAGCGCGGCCCTCGAAGAATTTCTACCGAAGGCGGCGATTGCGTCGTCAGTGGAGATGGAGAAGCGCGCAACAGCGATGATGCGCGGTATAGAAAGTCGCCTATTCGACTCGCTTCAGCTTTCAGGTAAGAGGGGTGAGAGAGAGACAGAGAGAAGAAACATATTTGAGGCGTTAATGTGAAGGAAGCGCGGTCTGGTCACCTCCCTCAACCTTTCGTTTTTCCTGCCGCCGTGTTGGACGCATTTGGGCTGTATTATACTATTATACGTCTTTAAATTTTTGACAATTTATTTTTTTAACGATAAATTGTACTTCTATACTACTACAAAAGAGATTAAATTTTAAGAATAAGCATGATTAAAAATTATATTAATAATTTAAATCTGTTTAAAAAAAATTAAATATAGGCAAAATCGCTCGATTAAACGGCGACTTATGCTGACTAGGATTGTAGCCGTTATGCTGAGTTGGCCAAGAAATGGTTATATTAATAAGTCGCCCGGATAACAGGCGACTTAGGCTATAAATAAAAAAAAAATTATTCTACACCTATTGCTCACGAGTCCTGATTTTTTTTCTCCTCCTACAAATTTTTTTAATGGAGAATCTATAGCGGTCAACCACCGCGGCCTCCTACCCGCCAAAATAGTTTGTTAGCTGTTTAGCAATTAGGCCGGTTGCAGAGATAAAATATTTTAGATTAAATTTAAATTTAAAATGTATTTGATTCTATTTAAGTCAGTAATATACTAAAAACTAATTTCTTTATAAAACTCAAAATCTCATGGATGAGATCAAATATCTCAAGTTCTCAACCAATTGATCTAAAAATGGAGAAATTATTCGTACGGAGTTTGGATATGACTTTTCGTCTGGATTTAAACGAAATGAAGCCACGTGACTTATACATATCCTGTGTATAATGCTATTAAACTTCTTTGAAAGTTCAATCATTATAGTAAAATTTTAATTTATTGAAAAATAGTACATAAATAAAATTAAATCATTATAACGCTAGTAATCTTCATTTCATCTTATTTGAACATTAAAGCAAAGGATTAGCATGCAAGACCACTAGATAAAATTAATTCCTAACATAAGCATAACATAAGCATACTGAAATACATAAAAAGATCCATAACATAAGCATACTGAAATACATAAAAGGATGAACTAGCGTCGCCTACGTGGCCTATGTGGCAATGCATTAGTGTCTGGAGTGTAATGTTCTGGAGGTCGCCGTGGCCTTTGACGTAGAATGTGATGTTCCTCCTCAGCAACTTCTTCCTCAACTATGTCATCTCTATGAATGGAGCTCGGTACAAAATCTGGGGTGAGGTATGCATCCAAATCCGCTGGCACCTAGCTGCTGAAGAGGTCTGCAGAGGGCCCTTGATCTGGATAAGAGGACGGTCCAGCATATCCACTGTAATGATGAGGAGGTTCCTGGGTCATGGAGAATGGTGTAGCATGCTTACCTCTATCCTCAAAATATCCTTGATCTTGAATATACAACTGCCTACGCAAACCACGACAAAGCTCTGCAATTGTGTTTATGTCCATCTGTTGTTGTGTATCATCGGTACCATTGAAGTGTTGCTGCAAAGCTTGTTCAGTACCAAGGAAAAAATCCCTCTGAATTAACAAAAGAAATATGTTAATATTTAGGAAAAGGAATTATTTCAGAAATTTATAGCATATTCAATTTAAACTTACTAGAAGACTCTCTGAGGGAGCTCTAAGATAGGCCGTTGTTGGAGGCTCAACAGGTGCCTTCAACATGTAAAGTGTTGCCCATGACTTGTATCAGTGTATGTAGTGATGAATCGAGTAGGTGTTATGCTGGTTCAGGAGGTCCCCTGTAACTATGTATCCACGCCTACTCTCCCATATAGCAATGTGTGCTTGGTGGTACAACATCCAGTCCATGTCTGGTTTCCCACGACCATCTACCCTTTTGAAGCTTGGATCCATTGGTTGGATGTCAGTTCTTGGGCATAATCCAAATTGTCATAGTACTCTATCCGGCAAGTGCCACTCAACCCTCTTCCAACTGATCAGAGGTACTCGTGCAGTCCAAATGTCCTCCCCTGCCAGACAGATCTGTGCGACCTGTGATTGAATATCAGGCGTACATGGCTGCCAAATTACCTGCATTTTCAATAATAAGTTTTATAAATTTGTAATGACGAGTTAATTTTTCATTTAACAAGTTTAAGAAGATACCTGACTATCAAGTAAACCATCGAGCTCATCTCTATAGGTAATGATATTTCCAACCGGCAACTCTCTTAGCCGATCCTCATTCCACCTATTACATTTATATTGTAAATAAATAACATTTTATTGCATGTAGTATTATAAAAATTGATTAAATAAAATTATCTCATACCTAAACCCAACATTGAGACCATCAAGTTCCACTGGAAAGGGAACACGAAGCAGTGGTCGTCCTACATGCAGATGCTCCCAAGCCCAGATTTGTAACAAATGAATGCATCCAGCTATATTGGTCATACTAGGCCGTGTTGCTTCTCCCAACTCTCTATATAAATGGGATAAAACTGCTCCTTCAAGAGAGTATGTACTGAATACTGCCAAATCCTCCATAATAGTAAGGTATTATAAATGTATCTCTGAACCTGAAGTATCCAGGAGAAGGTGATCTAGAACAGTAATCTTGCATAATATTTCTAATCTCCTCATTATCAACCGCATCTCCATCATTACCCAATGGTAATAGATCAGCACCATTATCATCAGAGCACTGCTCACTAGAGCCACTACTCATAGTCTCATAATCGCAATGATATGAATGAACTGATTGTGTAGACGCTAATGGAGGTTCCTGCGTCTGTTGGTTCTCAGTATCACTACATTAAAAATATTATTTATCATTTATTAATCAATGATACAAATTTCTACAAATCTATTTGTGAAATATTATATAGGAAACTCACAAATGAAGGGCTTCTTCTGTTGCTTCTAGCCTTGAAGGACTAGTAATCACATCAACCCTTTCAACTTGGGTTGAAGTTGCATATCTTTTTGAATTTTGAGGCTCAATGTTATCTTCACTTACATTTTTTTCTTCGACATCAACATACATGATGAGAAATTCTGTTTCAGCCTAACATAATAAAACTTCACAGACATCGTCATCTTCAACATGTGAAGCGACAAACTCATTTCTCACAGGCACTCGACAGACTAAGTTCACTGAAAAATTTCTAGGATCAAACTTAAGTGCTCTAAGTATCCTTAACTTAAGTTGCTCTAAGTTTATATTTATTGGCACATGTAAGGGACGATTCCTACCCCCATAATAACTTGGTGCAAATTTTTTATCAACTTGTAACTCGCCTCCATATATGAGCATGAAAGTTGCACCACGTCCACTCATTATTTAGCTCGTACGTGCCACTAAAAAAAGAACAAATAACAAATTCTTAATATACGTTTAAATTTAGGAAATGCTAAGTTGTTACTTCTAATTAAGTAGACAATCGTTACCACAGTAAGCACAATATCAAAATCAAATATTAAAAATAATTGAAAAAAAAATTATTATTACATAACTATGCTATTAATTATTGCTACAGAACTTACCATTAAAAATAATTTTATAGTAAAGATTCTATAATCACATTTAAATTTTTAAATTTTTAAATTTTAACATTTACATATATAAACATTTTATAAGTAATCAATTAGAATAAGAATACTAATTAGATTAATAACATTTCAAATTTACAAAATAAGTAGAGAAAAAATTTAATAACCTTCAGTTTTCTTCTATTGATAAACCAAATGAGTTATATGCATTGACGAAGTTGGATTTGCTCAACAATTATGATAACAACAATCTAATAGTTATTTGAGAGTTACTTTCAATTTTTAATCATGTTTAGTTGTTTGAAAATTAAAAACAGTCACTTCTTTTCTCTAGATCAAACATCAATATAGGGAAGAGACACCTCATTCTAGACCAATGATCAACAATGTAGATCTTTGATTTTGCGAATTTCTTTGATGTACAGGGAATTTCTTTGATATACAATCACTACTTGGTGGGTTGTTCGTCTTGCAAAAAGAGATTTTAAGTTTTGTATCTTTAATATGTATGTTAGGGCTGTCAATATTTGACACGACACGAAAACCCGACCCGGACCCGACTCGAAAATTTCGGGTTCGGGTCAACCTATTTGCATATATAAATATAGCTTAATATATTGTATATAATTTTTTCATATATATATATATATATAGAAAATATTAATTTTCTCACATTAATTTTTCTTGGAAAAATATTAATTTTCTCACATTAAGATAAACAAATTAAATAAAAACTTCTATAGAATTCAATGAAACTTTTGTACTATTTTAGATCTATAAAAAAAATTAACTCTTATCGTATCTTTAATATGTATGCAATTATTTTCTCGTTATTTTGCTAATAAATCTTCAACCGCACAAATTGTAAATCTTCAACCGCAAATAAATTTATTTAACCGCACAAATTTTCACTAAATCACAGATTTATATGTATTCTAGCCCTAAATCACATATCTACAAAATATATCAAACATTTACAGGCTAAATGCATAAATCTTAAGTTATGGCAAATAGATCTACAAAAAAATTCCACAAACAAAGAGATTCACAAAAAAACCTAGAGAATTAGTTTGAAATTCATAAATCTTTATTTATCTAAGCAAAATACACAATAATCTACAAACAATGAACTAACTTCACATAAAATGCATAAAAAAACCCCTTACCTTTGCTGGTTCCAGCGACAGCAACCGCAAGCGAACTGGGAAAAAATGAGGGAGAAGTGGGAGAGAAACGTATCGGGAAAGGGAAAGTAGGTGTATTTAAGTTTAAGTCGCCCGATTAACGGGCGACTTATAAGTCGCCTGGTTAACGGGCGACTTACATTAATTCATTTAAATTGCCACATCATCTGCCACGTCGTCCTTGGATTTAACCTAAGTCGCCTTTCAAACTAGCGACTTTGCCTATTTTTAAATTCTTTCTAAAACGTGCTTAATCTTATAGTTTAATTATTAATTATACTTAGTTCGAAAATTTGCACGTTTGAATCGGCCAGAAAGCATATGATTATTAAATTATTAGGAAAAGAATGA